ATTTATATTAATAATGGTAAATAAAGAGTTTAACAGTGCTAGATTGTTGCAGCCATTGAAGGATGGATTATTTTGGTAACTGGAGTTCATGAAGAGGCCCAAGAAGATGATATCCTTAACTCTTTTGGCGAGTTTGGAGACATTAAGAATTTGCATCTGAATCTGGATCGCCGCACTGGGTTTGTAAAGGTGACTATGAAAATATTGCACTTTTGAAAAGTGTCAAGCCCTTTGTTTCTAGCTGGTTCCAAAGCACAGACATAAGATACTATTGTAATTAGCAGTTCATTACACTTAATTTTCCTTATGTTGTTTTATTGAATAGCTTGCTTATGTTTTCCTATAGGGCTATGCACTGGTTGAATATGAAAACTTTGAAGAGGCACAAAAAGCTATAAACGAGCTGGATGGAACTCAACTGCTCACTCAAACCATTAATGTTGATTGGGCATTTAGCAGAGGCCCCTTCAAGAGAAGGAATAATAGGAGGTATGTTGTGAAATGCTCCCTAGTTTAGTTATAACCTGAATGTATGAATAGCATTGATATAGCCATTATGATTTTTTATAGCAAGCTTCAAATAATACCCACTCCATCTCTAATGGTTTGCCTACTTTGTCCAGATACAAGGTTTAGAGTGTGAAAAGTATATGGTTGAGATCTACTTAATATAGAAAAATATTGTCAATCATGGGCGGGAAAAAGAAAGGATGTAGACATGGTTGTCACGGCGTCGACTAGGCGTCGCCTAGGCGCCGACTAGGCGTCCTGGCGATGGAGAAGGGGCGCCAGGGGAGATCGACTCGCCGGAAGAAGACTAGTCGCCTCCGGCGTCGCCTAGGCGTGAATATGTCGTCCAGGCGCAGTCTTGGCGTGAAGCCAGGGGAGATTTGAAATCTCAATAAATTCGTTTTTTGAAGCCCAACCCAAAAGAACAATCATCGACTCTCAAACTCGAAGCTTAATCGACGACTCCTAAAGGCGAAGCATCGCTAGTCGTTACTTCTCTGATTATTTGTGCCTCTGTCGCAAGGTTGAAGACGAGTAGGAGATCTGTAGTTGATGCGTTCCTGCCACTCCTGCATCACAAGGTTGAAGACGACGTGCGCCCTTCCCAGCCTTTTATTTTTATCGGTCATTCATCTTATCACTTTAGTCTTTATCAGACTTCTTATTCCACTATATATATTAATATTAAGTATTAATATTAATACTGCGTACCCACTAAGCAGTATACCAACTACGGAGTACAATTTTACATAGTTTAATTTTAATATAATATATGTATATTTCGTACACAGTATACAGTATGTATAGATACACACTACAATATATACTAGCAATGCATATCTTGTATATTAATAAATTAGATATATAATAAATTAATAAATTAGGTATATTAATATTGAAATAAATAACTTGTATATTAATCAATTAGGTATATTAATATATTAATAAATTATTTGGCAATATACAATTGCATTCATAATATATCTTATATGATAAATAATTAAATTACAAATTAAGTATAGTTAAATAGAATGTTATATTATATATAAATTATAATTATATATATTGTGCGACAAGTCGCCTAATTGTCGCCTAGGCGGGCGCCTTGTCGCCTAGGCGATATGGCGGTCGGCTGGCGCCGCGACTCGCCTTAGCGTCGTGACAAGTATGGATGTAGATAATTTGGGGACAAAGGGAGTCATCTAAAGAATATGCATGTCATTGTTATGTTAGGTGTATCCTTTGTTTTTAAAATATGTATATATTAGTAAATGATTATATGCACCCCAAATTAAATCATTGGCATGAATAGAAAAGGTTGAGTTATTGTTAATATCTCAAATGATACATTTGCTTTGCATAGCCATTAGTCTGATGGGATGCCATAATGGACAACTGCAATTCTTTATCGAAATCGTGAAAGACAACTACCATTTGGATTTTGTTTTTTGATCCTTTCACAATCTGAGAGAATGTGGAGATGATCTTGACCATTTATTGGCTAAACCCCTAATTTGCTTACGTAATGCATTCTTCAAGGACTTGTATCATATCAATGGACCAGATGGTGTTACAATTTGTTCAAATGATGCACAGAGAATGACTTCGTGATGATATTGATCCTTTACATTCAATTGTTTAATACAGTAAAAATAATAAACCTGTTGTGTAGTCGATCCTGGAAGGATAAAGTGTAAGTGATTCATTCATATTTGATGCCTATGCTGCTATGCAGATCACCTCGAGGTCATCGTTCAAGAAGTCCCCGGAGGAGATACTAGCTATGTGTGTGTGCGTGTTTCTTTTCTGAAGTCATTGTGACTCTTGTTTGAGAATATATTGACTTTAGCCTCAAGGAATTCTGGTTGATATTATGTACACTACTATTTGAGCCCGTTTGAATGACTGGTATTTGCTAGGCGTCCCTGTATTCTCTTGATTTGTCTTGCTTTTATTTTAATTATTAATGCATAATGATTAATGGCACCTGTAATGTCCAGTATTGACCCTTCCAAGAACAAGGTGGTTGTTTTGTCGAAGTTGGGATATCAATCTTTATTGCATCTACAAATGCAAATATGCAATGCTCTTTAGTGAAAGAATATTCTTTTCCAATCTTGTAAAGGTGCCACAACACCATTTGAGTGGATTTAACCTTAAACTCCCCCTTAAAGTACAAATATGATTTCCCAAAAGTTATTCTAACAAATCAAAATTGTTGTTATTTATTCTCTTGATTTTTTTGAGGCATTTACTGATTTAAACCGATTTTCATCTCAGAGGAGTCAGAGGATACATAAGTTTTAGAAACTCACTCTGGTTTAAAAAAATTTAGGCCTGATGCACAAAAATGGAAGGCAACCATATTCAAGTAGTATAACATTACTACTCCAATAATATTTTTTTTATTCATCAACCTAGAGGCTAGAGTTTCAAAATAATAAAAACCTAGTTTCATGTATGGATGGACCCGGGCCGGTTCGGGCCTAGGCCCAGCCGGGCCTCGGGTCTGTTTTGTTGGGCCCGAGCCCGAACCGGTGGCCACTGGTTCCGGGTCCGGTTCCGGGCCGGGCCGGGCCGGTCGGGCCACCCGTTTTTTTTTTTTTTTTTTTCCTTTCTTCCCCCACCCCCCCACCCCCCCAAACCCCCCCAAACCGGCCTAAACAGATAGCCCAAGCCCAACAGCCCAAAACAAATGAAAAAAATTAAAAAAAAAATAGATTTGGCCCGGACCCGGGCCCGAACCGGTCGGGCCGGGCCGTCAAAACCATGAACCGAGCCCGGAACCGCCCCACCCCCGGGCCTCCGGCCCGAACCGGACCCGGACCCGGATAACCGGGCCGGGCCGGGCCCGCACAGTAGCGGGTCGGGCCGGTCCCCGGGCCGGGCGGCCCGAACCGAGGCCATGCCTAGTTTCATGTAAATCCAGGGGTGGATTCGGGTCGGGCCACTCGGCCGTGGACCGGCCCGGCCTGCTACTGTGCAGGACCAGGACCGGCCCGGTTCTTGAGTCCGGGTTGGGCCTCGGCCCGGGGCCCGGGGGTGCGGGTCTGGGCTCGGGTCTTTCATTTTTTAAGGTTTCACCCAAATCGGGCTTGATGGTTAGGAGGTGTTTGGGGGGTGGGGGGTGAGGGGGGGTTAGGAAAGCAAAAAAAACAAAAAACAAAAAAACAAAAACCAATCGGAGGCTCGGCCCGGTCCAGACCCGGTGGCTACCCGGGCCCAAGGTTGTTAAAATCTCGATTTAAATCGTAAAATCGTACGATTTTACGATTCTACAATAATAAATCGATTCAAATCGCAGGTAAAATCGTAAAATCATAAAATCGTACAAAATCGTAACAAAATCGTACAAAAATCGTGTAGAATCGTATAAAATCGTAGCAAAATCGTAGCAAAATCGGAATAAGTTTTTTTTTAGTGAAAATGGTTCAAATTTATTAAAATTAACTACTACAAATTGATACAAAATTTCAATAATAATAACATCAATGGTATATTTAAAAAAAGTAATGGATTCTTGTGTTATTTAATTATTTTTATGTTTTACATATGTTTAATGTTATTATCCACTCTATTTACAATATAAAAATAGTTTATAAATCTTGTTTTTGACCTTGTAGGTATAGTGGTATGTAATAAAATGACATAATACCATTAACTTGCAACTTAATTTTAATATTTATTTATTTTATAATTATTAAAATATGTTTGATAAAATCTTACGATTTGCGATTCGATTTTACGATTCGATTTTCAAAAACATCTACCGATTCGATTCAAAAATACGATTTTAACAACCTTGCCCGGGCCGGTCCCGGGTCCACCAATTCCGAACTGCCGGCCCGCCCGGGCCTAGGCCCAACCCAGACCCGGCCCGAATCCACCCCTATGTAAAATCCATTGAGTTGTTATTAAGCTTGGCATTTATTGATAGTTTAGTTTGGGGGAAAAGAGGCAAATAAGCCCTCGAACTAATCGTGCTAATAAGCCCTTTTGTAGGAGGTTCTGTCCAATCATCGTCATTTGGGGAGGTTGTTGGTGGAATTTTTTGATGATTTTTTGTGAGAATCTTCTTCATTAAGTCTAGTTTAGCTATACCAAATTTCAGCTAAAAATTCAAACGGGAAGGCACTCAAATGATTTTCGGAAATATACTGCGTTGTTTAACTACGCAGTTATCTTCAAATATTCATTTGACTGTCTTCCCGATTGAATTTTTAGCTGAAATTCGGTACAACTAAACTAGACTTAATGAATAAGATGGTCAAAAACTTTCATAAAAAAAATTCCACCAAGAACCTCCCCAAATGACGATGGTCGGACGGAACCTCCGACAAAAGGGCTTATTTGCACTTTTTTATTAGTTCGAGGGCTTATTTGCCCATTTTCCCTTTAGTTTGACTAACTTAACATTCTGTGTGTATGTTTCTTTTGCCAGTAAAGTAAATTTGTAAGTTTTGCCTGTGATTTTTTCAACCGTGTACAAAAAGGGACGAAAGGGTAGCCGGTGAAAAGGACACACATAGCCCCGTTTAACAGATTTAGTGTGAATCAAATACACAGACTTTACGGCCCCTATCTCTGTTTAATTGGGATAAATGTGCCTGCTAGTGACGAATCTGACGATCATGGGCATTCCTAAAAATCGTTTACAGGTACAGATTAATAATGTGTAATATAGAAAACAACATATAATCCCTATACCATGGAAACCCTGTACCATGGTAGAAACACCAAAGGCTGTTGGCCATGGATTAATGTCTCTAGCCATGAAGATCCATAAAGCAAATACTACGTATAATATTTACTAGGCAGTGCCAATTAAGTGTGCACTTGTCTCGTTTTCCTTGATGAGCTCTTCAAGTTCATCAATAATCGCGTCGTAGCAGAAAAGATATTGTTCCTGAAAACCAACACAATCATCAAACTTTATGTACAATACCAGATTTTCTCAAACGCCAGCAAATGACATTTGTGAGTGTTATTTAATAGCCAAAACAGATAGTAGGGAAAAAATAAAATTGAAATTAAAACACAACTATAAACAATTATGTGAATTCATACTCGAAGAATAATTCATCTTCATTACCCCCCGTGCCGCAAAGGCTCCCCACCTTCGATAGGGTAAGGGAAATCGGATGTACGCAATCTTACTCTTGTAATAAAATACAAAGACACTGTTTATGGACGACCCATATTGAAAATCGCGTCGAAAATTGCATGGACTGACTGTTGTTTCATAACAAAGAAGCGCAAACAGTTTAGTGAGCCATTTTGCTTTATTCCATCATATTCTCAGGCCACAAAATAGTGAGTCTTTGGCTCCATTGCAAATGATGGACATGAATTCATACTCGAAGAATGCTTGACTATATTCATCCCCCGCCCCAGCCAATGCTAAAGAATTTAAATTGGCTAAAACTAAAAATAATGATGAGAATATAACTCACAACTTTTAGTTTGACAAAATCAGGACCAAAACTTATTTAGGAAAAATACAACAATAACATTACCCTAGTGCCGCAAATGCTTCCACCTACGGTGGGGTATGGGGGATCGGATGTACACAACCTTATCCCTCTACTTCTTACCCCTCTACTGAAGCAAATAGAGACTGTTTCCGGATGACCCATGATAAAATTGAATGTTGCTTCATAACAAAGAAGCTGTTAAGCACCTGGCAATATTCTGGCAATAAACAGTAAACAGAAACGTAGATCTGATAGAGATGATATGGAAGGGATGTGTATTGACGTAATAGGTAAACCGTAGGCTACAAGGATAATCCGGACTTAGGCAACAAGGCAACAGGCAACACTTAGAATCAAAATATCAGTCTACCCATTATTAGCTACCCAACTTACTATTTATAGTAGTAGGTCCACGCAGGGACTAAAATAGATAAACAGACTCAATAAATGACCCCAGCCCCCTTAATTGACCTCAGCCCATTTTATTTCTCCTTTCAAATACCCTATTAAAATACTCAATAGGCAGATTCCTAACATTACTCCCCCCCTAATTAACCACCTTGCCCTCAAGGTGGGTAATAAGACACAGCCTTGATCTTAAACTTCCTCTTCATCCTGGAACCTCTTCCTTCCCAGTACCTCCTTGGTTTCTGATCTAGGAGCTTCATTTCTTTCACTTTCATTATCACGTCTTTCACAGCAAACAGGAGCAGAAGCTGGTTATCAAAGTTCCCTAGAATTACACTTGAAGCCTCTACTGTGTAGCCAACAACATCATATAAAGGTTCTGCCAGATAAAATCCAGCTGTCCTTGTAGAAATTTCAGTTGCTACATCATAAAGAACTGCAGCCACTTGCTTCCTCAGTCCTTCATTATGATGCAGCAGCATCTTCCCAACTTCAGCTGATTTATCAGTCCACCTCTTCCCAGTAATTCCTTCTTGTAGCATATCTTTGATAATCCTCTCGATTACACCTTTTTGGTATGGCAGGTACCTACAAAGCTTCAGGGTAGGTACTTCTGCTCCTCCTTTAATGTTAATAGCATAGTCAGACCTACTGGAAAGAGGAAATTTAGATCTGGTAGTAGATATCTTAGGAAATTCTGCCACAACTCCTTCCCTTTTAGTATCCTTCAGCTGATTTCCTCCTCCCTCCAACTTTCTGCCTTCCCAGTAAATCAGATAGCCATCACCAGTCTCTTGTACAGTTTGTGACTTGGTCTTCAGAGATACTTCCATAAAATTTGACTTAAGAACCCCTTGAATACCCTGGCTTACCCCCAGCTGATGCCATTTTATGCTCTTATTCTGAAAATTGATTTCCACATTCCCCAATCCAGTCAACCAATCCATGCCAAGAACCAAGTCAGTTCCCTCTAACTCCAACATGTAGAAATCTTGTTGAATGACAGCTCCCTGCATGCACAGAATTAACTTTTCACACCTGCCCTTGTTTGAGACCTTATCACCATTCCCAAGCTGGACCTTGTAGTCAGCAATGGTCTGATAAGGGAGGGTCAACTGCTCTACCATTTTCTGTGATATGAAGTTGTGGGAGGCTCCACTATCAATTAGAACCTCTACTAGCTTCTCTCCTTTAGCCCATTTCAGAATTCCATGTACCCTGAAAGCCCTCATGGAAGGTGTATCCTCCTGGTTCATGAAGGATAATTGCAGGGACTTAGATTCCATGGTGATGTTTTCATCTTCCGGGATTACTTCTGAGTTATCTAGTTCCTCTTCTCCCTCGGAATCCTCCACTAGAATCAGTTTGTAATTCTTCATCTTGCATGAGTGCTCTCTACCCCACCTTTCACCACATTTGAAGCAAAGTCCCCTTCGACTTCTATCTTGGTATTCTTCTTGTGTCAGCTGTGGCCCTACTCTTCTTATGTCTGAGGGATTTATCTCAGTTTCCTTCTTCCCATCGGGAGTAAACCAAGGTTGAGTGCCCTGCTGTCCTGAATTATTTCTACCACCAGTCTGGGATCCTGAACTTCCAGCTTTTGGCTTGTATCCCTCTCCCCAAACAGGTTGTCTATAGTTCATGGATCCCTTGTCCCTTCCTTCCAATTTCTCTGTAGTTTTACCCTTAGTGTATATAGCATCATTTTTCTTCTCAATCGCTTGGGCCCTGTCCATGGTAGCAGCTAAAGATTTGCCATTGAAGAGTTTCAGTTCAGCCTTGATTTCATCCTTGAGGCCATTGATAAAAATGCCTCTCAGCATACCCCTGTCTATGTTCTTCTGTGGAGCTATTACCATCTCAAACTCATCCCGATAGTCCTCCACAGTTCCAGTCTGTTTCAGGCTCAACATGGGTCCATAGGGATTCTGCAATAAGTCGGGTTGGAACCTACGGATAACCGCATCCTTCAGATTTTCCCAGGTTATCTCCTCCGCCTGTTGTTCCCACCACTGAAACCAATTCAAGGCCCTATCATCCATAGCCACCATTGAAACCTCAACCTTGTCTTCCTCCTCTGTTCTATTCAATCTAAAATAACGCTCCATTCTTATTAACCAGTTATAGGCACCTACTCCATTGAACAATGGCAAATCCACCTTCCGACCAGTATTCACTCTGCGAGTAGGGATAGGAGAGTTTACAGAATTACCTCTCGAGTGCTCTGGGCTGTGTGGTGATCGCGATCGGTAGTGATGTGGTGATCGTGATCGACGGTGATGAGGGGAGCGGTGATGCAGTGATCGCGATCTCCCTCTGGACGGTTCCCTCCTGTTCTGATAAGCTGCCATGGATGTCGCGATGCTGTTCTGGATTTGCTCATTCATCGCGACAGTGAGATTCGCGATGGTAGCTCGCATCTCCTGCTCAAAGGCTTCCAAGCGTTGTTCCATTTTGGATCTCGTTTTTACCATCGACCGATCGATCTACAGTAATCGCACTTCACTTGCGATCCCCCAGGAACGATGCTCTGGCAATAATCCGATCCCCAGGAGAACGGCTCTGATACCAATGATAAGCACCTGGCAATATTCTGGCAATAAACAGTAAACAGAAACGTAGATCTGATAGAGATGATATGGAAGGGATGTGTATTGACGTAATAGGTAAACCGTAGGCTACAAGGATAATCCGGACTTAGGCAACAAGGCAACAGGCAACACTTAGAATCAAAATATCAGTCTACCCATTATTAGCTACCCAACTTACTATTTATAGTAGTAGGTCCACGCAGGGACTAAAATAGATAAACAGACTCAATAAATGACCCCAGCCCCCTTAATTGACCTCAGCCCATTTTATTTCTCCTTTCAAATACCCTATTAAAATACTCAATAGGCAGATTCCTAACAGAAGCACACACAATTCAGTGAACCATTTTGCTTTATTCCATCATATCCCCAAGCAAAAAAATAGTGAGACTTTGGCTCCATTGGAAATGATGGAATTTACTTAGGACAAATAAGTAACTAAAATTAAATGAGAAGTCTAATATCCCCATTACAACAATCTACCCCATCAACGTTTTCTTCCCTCACCAAGCTGCTTCATCTTTGGGCCAGGCGAGGAACACCCAACTCCACCGGTGTGACAGCAGACTAAGGCGATTCACGCTAGAGGAGGCGACTCCATACCGGTGAAGGCGACCAGTGAGAGCGACATCCAATCGGCTCTGCTCCATCCTCTTCTATGTTGCTCCTCGTCTCCTCGATAATGCCCATTACGTAACCTGCCCCATCAACATTTTCTTCCCTCGCCAAGCTTCTTCTTCGGGCCAAGCGAGGAACACTCAGTTCCACCGATGCGATAGCAGACGGAGGCGATTCACACCAGAGGAGGTGACAACAACCAATCAGCTCTTCTTCATTCTCTTCTTTGCTGCTCCAAGGGTGACTGGCTACGAGCAACGAACCGGATCTAGATCAAGAATGGTGGTGGCTAGGGGTTGGGCCTGGGGAAGCGGTGGCGGCTAGGACGTCCTGAACCTCATCACGCAGGTAGGATCAATTCCGATCATCAGCACGACCTGCAAGAAGTTCCTTCAGAGCCCACTCTAGGCTTCATCATTTTCAACGTCTCGCTCGCCGGCTTCATCGTCACATGCTTCCGTCTCACGTGGTCCTCTGGCTCCCGGCAAGGTGTACAAGGACTGGCTGATGAACTACTCTGGAGGCTGAGGAAGAAGCTTGCAGATCCTCATAATTGGATACCCATTAGGCAATGTAACTGAAAAAATAGCTCTCTATGGCTGGCATTGGACACTACTACCGGCGGTGGTCACTGGTCAGCGGTGGTCAGTGTGTGAACGGGTGATCACTGGCCGGAAAATAGTCACTGAGACGTTTGGTCATGGTCACCGAATAGTAGTCACTTTGATTTAAGGGGTAAAAAAGTCACTTTAGTCTCTTTTTCGGATTTTTTTTAAACTGGTTTCCAAAATCTTTTGGGATCAAGGCTTGGTTGGTGTTATTGTTGTTTTGAAACTGGCCCTATTTTAGTCCATAGCATTTTTTAGTATTATTTTTAGGAAAAAACCCTAAAAATAATCTTATATTATCCTGGTCTAAAACGTCTTTTACCAAACTCCCCTTGGTTCTTAGTCGCACAATCCAACAGATTAAGTTCTAGTAACCAACTAACCATTCAAATTTTCTTAAATGTTCTCACAAGTAAAAGCAAGTTCACTTAAAGCCAAATGGGACTACGGGACACGAATGAATATATTCAAGTGTGATGTTTTTCTGTACACTGGAAAACAAATCTTCCTGCAACTGTAGATATGTTGATATTCAGAACCATTGCAACCACATTAGCTCTTGTCATCAGATATATAGAAACCCACATTAAACAATAACCCAACCATATTATTACACAGGGAAAGAATAAACAGTAATATGAAAGCATTATACGTACCAATGTTTGAACCATCCCAATTCGTTGTGACCTAAAAACGGTGATGGTATTTACAAGATCTAAAGCGGACATATCCCCAAGCAGCACCTTTTGGATGGTGTTGTGAATTGTGCAATAGGTTCCAGTTCTACCAATACCTGCACTGTGACAAAGATACGTGTCAGGTAACAGGTTCCATTTGGGACTTTGGGTAATTAAAACAAAATCAGAGCTATGAAGACAGATCTGCATAGAAACTAGAAAGTTGGGGCAAAACCTGCAATGAACCACAATTGGGCCAAGACTAGGTGGCACAGTAACTAAGTGCTTCACAATCTCACGAACAAGAATTGTGTCCTTAGGAACTCCATGATCAGGCCATGCAGGATACTGAAAGTGAAAGACATGCAGAGGTGGCTCTTCTGACTGCAACAAGTAGGAGAAAATGTTAGATGTATTCACTCCACCAGTCTCAATACAAGCTCCACATTTTGACGATTAATATGTGATATGATGGTGTGCCAAAATAGTAATTGTTCATATAAAAAAACTTTCTTGATTCTTGAGCAGTGTATCAACTCTAATAAGACATTTGAGAGCCTAACAGTATAAAATGGTTTTATATCGGAACCTTAAGTGAGAAATCAGGGTCAATTGTTATTCTTAAAAACTCAGGAAATCCGAATGAAAAAATGTTTGTACTGAAAGCTTTCATTCCAGGTAAGTGATCCCTGTACTTGGGTACTAGGTAAGATCTTACGATCCTAGATTTACGATCATTCACCCCGAGGCCCCTATTGATCTTTTCTATATAAAAAAAGCCTTGACAACATTGTTCTTTTGTTTGGTGGGCTTTGACGCTTTGTCTGGTGATCTTATAATTCAAGACTTCAACTGAGCGTCACACTTGCACACCCTGCGTCAGGAGTATTTGAACTATGGTTTAACAGACCAATGATGGGTTTCAAAGATATTGGTCACTCACCTCTTTACGCCAAACCTTCAAGCAACGCAATATTAAGGAAGAGTCTGTTGTTTTTGTCCATTCTGTGGTGATGCATATATTCCCAAATTCTCTAGTGCCATCTTCTGCCTGAAAATAGTCTCCACACTTCATCTGCCTCAAGATTCACCACCAAAGAGCTCCACATTAGAAAGATAAATATTTTACAAGAAAAAATACATTAAAGTTGATGTAGGCTTTACTGTGAAGCAGTGTGGTAGCCAATGGGCCAGGCTAAGAAAAATCTATTCATATAAATTTTAATAATAAAAAGGTCTACCAAAAAATAAATGCATATACAAATATCTGATACTCTAAATCTAATGTATCTTACCCCTGTGTTTCAACTAGCTTTTACACAACTTTTTGCCATGGTTGCTTAATAATATATGTAGAGTAATTGGACAATACACAGGGAAAATCGGATTTTGTTTCATCTATCCCTTCCCACATGGTTTTGCAGTGTAGTCTATCATAAACGGTTTTTTGGACCAGATTTAGCCATTTAGGTGAGCCCGCGATGGGCCCCTCTTAGCCCTACCCATGCTATGAAATAGTACATAAGATATAGAAATGCACACAAAAATAAAATGCCGAAAATGCATATGCTACATAATCCCTCAGTTCTCTTTTAACTGTCTCTTTTGAGAAAGAAAAATATGTTCTAAAATAAATACTCCCTCCATCCCACTATCTTTGTTCCATTTTTCTTTTTCTTCCGTCCTACTATGTTTGTCTCATGTCATAGTTGGTAATATTTGTGTGGTTATAATTCCTTCAGACTTTATTCTCACTTTATAATTCCAATGTGAATCCCAATCTTAGGGGAGAGAGGTAGTATCACTTTAGAATATCAAAGGAGCATTAATTGATCATTTTCCACCATTAAATATATAGTACTGCTTTTGCCTTGATTTGAGAACAATGAATTGTTTTCTTAGTGTGTGTGCCATAACCTAACTACCATGTTTCGGAACAATTTGCCAAAAAAAAAACAATTACCTGTTGGCTGTATGAATATACCAAGTATATATTTCAATATCCAGTAATCATTACAGTTGAGTACCTTGTAATTGTCAACCAGTTGTGTAAGCATTACAATTGCAGGACAACGGTTTTGGATTACCATTTCCCAGAAATCCTCAAAGGTATTAGGCAATGGACCTTGTGTCGCAATAAAGGAAGACACGTGTTCAGAAATCTACCAATAGAAGCACAAAATGTATAAGTAAGCATATCTATTAATATAATTTATTAAGAATGAAAAACTATCTAAAAACAGTAAACCTAGCAGAAGGATTACTCTGATCAAGCTCGCATTGATATATCCCTTTGCTGATTGTCTATAGTCTTTACATGGGTTCAATATAATCCTATTACTGTCAACTGAAAATGATGATTGACGTGTTATATTCAAATGATTAAAAACAGACCAGAAACTTCAAAAGAATAAAGAAATAAAGGATTATCATACATGGCAATACATCAGGATACCGATTTTTACTGCTGTTTATGGCACACAGAGCTACTGAACATCTATTCCGCATTTCAGCAGCGTTCATCCTATTAGTCTGGAATCAAAGTAACATGTTAGCATGAATTAAAGAAATTCCTGATGTCATAAAAGGGAGAGAGTTGTACCAATGAAAAGAGTCAGAAGAGTATAAAGACTATAAACCACATATAAGTTGAAAGAGTTAAAAAATCATTTTGAGTGCATTTAGCTGAAACGACTGAATGAGGTAAATTAACTAAAATTGAGACTGGACTGGTACTTTGGCAGAAGTATATAAAAGTGTATTCAACTATAATTATTTTACAAACAGTGAAATAAAATAATATCTTCAAATGATGAAAACGGTCATTTCCTTGAATTGCAGTTTTTTTAGCAAAAAAGTAACCTATGCACAGTTTTTTATATTAAAAGATTTTGCCGTCATGCATACGCATACATTTGTGCTTGGTAGCAAAAACATTGGTACTCCACTGACACTTGTTATGTGGCTCACATTATACAGTTGTTTCAAGCATACTGAGGATTAAAGGCCCGTTTGGTGAGGGTGTTTTTCAGCTTATCAGGCTTATCAACCACCTTTTTTACCAAACATGTAATTTTTTATTTCACGGGCTGAATTTTATAATAATAAGAAAAAGTAAGGTGGGAGTTACTTTTCTGGCTCTATTGGCTGAGGATGTTTTCTTTTGGACTGAAATTTGCTGGTCTGGTCTGGTTAAGTCTGGTCTGGTCTGAACTGGTCCAGTCTGGTAAACGTCCGGTCTCTGTGTATTTTATAACTAAGAAATTCTGGTCTGGTTTGTTTAAGTCTGTTCTGGTCTGGTCTGGTCTGTTTAAGTCTGGTCTGGTCTGGGACTGAAAATAGTCCAAAAGAAAACATCCTGACTGAAGAGGGTCATTTTAACTATTTTAGCATATATTTTTTCCTTTATTTTAATAATAAAATATATTTTAAATATATTTTTTACATACATCAGCAGAATCAACCAATCCAGCCATAACTTCATAAGTTTCAGCAAAATCAACCAATTCAGTCCATTTTGGTATTACCAAACGGGCTCTAAGTAATAGCATTAAAATAACATTGTTTATTTTTTCTAATTCTATTAGCCAATAGGTGTTTAAAAATGACTAATTGGATATGCAATTATAAACTTTCAAAAAGTGACTTCAACATTATTAAACCCTTTAGAAACAGTAAACCAAATCCTCTATCCTAGAACAACTCAAAATTCCTAGATCATAATCCATTGAAATCTTCACAGGAGATCATATATATTCCTTTCATTTCCATTGGCTCTTACTCTTTGAGTTAATTCTTTTATATTATTTTGAAGCATGCATCTTCCAAACAGAAACTGCTTGTAATTCTTTTAGATAATTAGGTCTACTCTGTTTCTTCCCTAATCCCCTACCAATGCCTTCCAGTGTTCGTTAATTGATGCTGCTTCTAGTGCAATTAGAACTTCAATAGTTAACATGTTAAAAATTACATTTGTAATTCTGGTAGGATGCATACTTGAATCTGCTAACTTTAACTACTCCGTACATTATCATCCTCTAAAGTCTAAGCAATGTTAGTGTCTGCATACTGCAATCAGTTGGCTCAAGTACGGCTAAGCTACGCCTTCCATGCTCAAGTTCGAACCTCACAGAAACATATCAAAGAAGAGAAAATTCCCGAAATATGAGTAAAACGTTGTAAAATTCCAAATAATGAGTACTATGCGTCTTCCCTAAACAGGAGTAACTTACTGCCACATCGAAATTTTACACCCACAATTTGGTATTGTCAGACTTTGATATGACAGTATTACCTACATAATTGGCATTAATTAAAACTATTTTGGAATTCCAAGTTCCTGTTTAGGGCAATTTCTTATTAAAGAATCATAAACAAAATTTTGAACTAGAAAAGCAGAACTCCAGATAGAAACTGAAAGGCTCGACATAAGCTTAAACACTGAGTACATTTAAAGAGAGGACTAAAAGAAATGACCTCCAGGATGCCGAATTCCTGACGGATTTTTCCGGGGGTTTGAAACTTCTTCTCTTTGAGTACATTAAGGGCTTCCGAGCAGTAACGAAGCTGATCGGAAGACAGAACGAGCCGTCGCGGAGACCAATCACATGAGGAATCGTAAGGATTGATAAGGGGCGCAGGGGCCTCGGTAGACGACGCAGCGGTGCCGGAGATGGGGGATAAGGCCGATCTCCGGCTGCGAGTCCGGGTTGAAATGGAGGTGCCCATGTTGTTGGGTCCCACAGTCGTCTGTGCCTTGTTGAGGGGAAGCCGAAGACCAGCCCAAACCACAGTTGTAACTTGTAATTGAACACATTCGGCATTCAGGAACGACTCCAGTCCATTTTAGGACATCACTTGTGTTAACTGGTGCAGGCAGCCTCATCTACCTAGCTAGCTAGAGTTTTTTTAAAATAATTCCAAAATATATACTGCTTATCACTAAAACAAAGGTATCCTACAAAAATGTGACTATAACCTTAGTGATAATAATTGTATTCAAATATTACTCTGTACATCATAGTGACTATAAAACTTACACATAATAACTTATGATTATATTTTTATTCATAAATTTTTCATTAGTAATAATTTAGGAAAAACTTCTTTTTTTTTGGAAAAATCTACCTAGCTAGAGTTGGAATTGATTTATTTTATCTATTTAACGAAAATTTTGAAAATGAGTAAAACTAATCGATGGCTTCGTCGATCCAAGGAGAGAGTAATAAATAAGCTAAGTGTAGATCGACTAGGAAATTCTGCAGCATAAAAATAAGTTGACAGTAAAAATGATGATCATTTTCTACAAGTTAGAAGGTGATGTTTATAGTGTAAAATGAAATATTTGGGCAATCAGTAAAAACAATTACCTAAATATAACATTGACACGTGTAAAGCTAAATGTTGAGAGAATAATCAAAAGCTAGCTAGTTGGTACTATTAGCACTATAGTTTGTCCTTTAAGTACTATAATGTGTAGATAAATCACACGTGTAGGTCTGGGATCTTCTGCGTATAACTATCGCGAATGACGTCAACCCCGGATAGACGTCACACTGGTGATGTATTCATAGTTGTTTGTAGAATCCAAGCACTAAAATGTCCAAGTCCATAATCTCCGTACGAGGTCCCAAGCTCGGTAGTAGAGGTCGAACTCGGGTGAAGCGTGTTTAGCTAAGAGGGGAGTAACCTCGACTCTCAATTAATGTGAGGCAATAATGCTTTTGTTGATCTTTTAGCCTCATAAGGTGTCAGTTGACTTTAAGCTCGGCTACAGTGTGGAGTTGGTGCCAACCTCATTCATGGTTTTAGACTTATCTCAATGATCTGATAACTGGTTTTGAGCTAGGTCTAGGTCGAAATTGACTTAGTGGATTATGGAGATCCTTTATCGTAATGTTGATACCCTTGGGTTAAATGACAATAATATACCAAGTAATGTGGATTGTTGCGCTTGCTGCTACACCAAAAACAATTGCCGATAATGTAGCATGTCCTTACCCCCGTTTATAAAATAGGCAAAACATCACGCTTCGATTGCACCGACAGGCTAGCAGACTGCTGGCACCGCATACCCGTAGCCCAACAATCCCCCCCCCCCCCCCACACACCTGCCAACCTACAACTAAGCAACATGTTATCGACTTATTGGGGGCCAAACTCATGACATTTGGCTTTGATACCGCTTGTGGATCGTTACGCTTACCGCTACAACAAAAACAATTGTTGATAGTGTAGTAGCACACTCTTTCCCCTTTATAGAACATGCAAAACGCCACATTTTGATTGCACCGACAGATTGACAGAATCCTGACACCGCATATTTGGGGCCCAACACCGAGTATATTTAAGAACTTTTTTTGAAAAAATATTAAAGGAGATTAATTCAAGAAAGAATGGCATGAATTTTACCCCCCCCCCCCCACTACCACTTTAGATGGACAAGATATGACCATTTTAAAATCAGACAAAAAAAAGATCACATTAAAAGATGGACAAGATATGACCATTTTAAAATCAGACAAAAAAAGTGATCACATTAAAAAAAACTGAGCCTAACAAACAAATCCTTCTTAGACGATTGAGCTTTTCTTCATTGGAGATCAATCTCACAAAAGGCACCTTCACCTCACCTCCCCGGCCACTTCCGTTAGAGATATTTATGTTTAGTATCTTTTTTGTGACATTAGAGATCGATCAAAATGTCATATGTCCAAATTAGAGCATCTCTAATGTCACAATGTGCTCGGTGCACATGTGACATGAGAGAGGTAGACACGTAAATATTAGTAATCAACATATTTTTCTCCTTATTTAAAAGGTCTTATATATCTTTGATAGACGTACATACGATTAACATCATAAAATTTTACAAAAACATACTACTTTCAGACCCAAAAAAAGTTCACTTTTTTGAACAAGTCCAAGATAAACTTCACACTTATATTTTTGGTAAATTTTTAATATAAAGTTATCAAGTAGGAGTACAATTTATTTATTACCTATTTTACACATATTTTCTTTCTCCCACTACACCTAATTTGCTTTTTAAATGGGCATGATAAAAACCTAAAGAAAAATCACTATCTTAACAACCGTAAATAAATGTGTGAAGTTTTTTTTTGGCAAAATGTGTGAAGTTTTATTTTTTCTTTGAAAACGTGTTTGAAGTTTTTTTTTGAAAACATGTTTGAAGTTTCTTTAGGACACGAAAGAGTATAAAAGTGTGCATTGAGTACTCGTGATAATAACAAGATAAACTAAACATAAACTAAACATTACACCCTGCTCCGTACTACCTAAACCCCAGCTGTGTTCCCACTTTTTACTTGCTCTTTAAGTTGTGTTTCGTAGACATGCTGAAGACTCCAGCTTTGAATATTTGAATTTCTGTAATGGGAGGAATCTGGATGACTCGCTTGCCGGATATGTACAGAGCTAATTTGATCGGCTTTGTGTTGGCCGTGGCTTCCAGCGTCTTCATTGGCTCCAGCTTCATAATCAAGAAGAAAGGACTCCAGAGAGCCGGTGCTTCCGGCTCTCGAGCCGGTATGTGCTGTTTATAAGTTCCCGAATTTAGTCTTCTTTTTCTGATAGTCGCGTAGATTGCTTGTTCTGCTGGATGTTGAGTAGTTGTTCCTAGTTTATCGGCTTAATTTTTCTTTTTCTTGTAAATTTTGGCACTCATGTTTCTGTCATGGTTGTTATGATGCAACTAGATGCTTTAGTGACGCGAGGGAAATAAGGGTTAGAGTTGTCTTTTCAAGCCGTGAAGCAGGTTGGGGTAAAGGTCTTCATTTTAGGAAGTCATAATGCCATTTTGCTTAAGCAGTCAAATGGATTCTGCATTTCTCATCAAGTTACCATTGAAGTTTTTGTTTTTGTTTTTGTTTTTTCTTCTTTAATAATACATGTGGGGTTATTTATAATTTGGGGCATGAATCAGCCACCTAGGAAGAACTTTTTCAAAGTCTAACTCAAATATCAGTAGACCTCACATAGTTTCGGGCCATTGAAGTTTATAGAAGTGCTTTGGAAAGGAGTGATGATTTTAGAGTGACAGTTTACTGCTTAAAGTTAAGATATCATCAATCACTACATGAAACCCATAGTTTTAGGTGTTGTGACCTTCAATGGAACTTATTGCCTTATTGGTACTCAGAGGTAAATGAGTAGCTAAGGTCAAGCCCACCATGGAGCAGGGCTGTCATATTATATAATGGTAGTTGAGAATTGAGATAAGAGTAACGAAGACGACATTTGATCTTCATGTTTATTTATATGTTTCTTGCTTCTCCAATTGATAAATGACATTTTGGCACAATCTTTCTAAAGGAGAAACCAATTTGGTGGAAGTTGGAGGCATGACAAGTTGAAAATTTTCAAGGGAGTATGTGGAGTAGTAGTGCATGATACTACCTCCGTCCTCCTAAGATTGGGATAAAGGAGAGTGGTGTGGTTGATAATGAATTGATAAAGTGGGAACAAAGAAAGACTGAATTAGAGCCACACAAATATTACCAAATATGGTATAAGACAAATTTAGTGGGACGGACGGAAAAGGAAAAATGGGATAATTATTGTGAGACGGAGGGAGTAGTTGAGTTTGAAGAAAGTTAATGATATTTGAGTTACTGATGGAAGTCATCTTTGTTTCCCCTATTGTATTACATTGCCTACTCACTTGCTATAATGCTAGAACCCTTAATTTAATCCGTCATAATAGTGGGCTTTATCCATGGTTCGGTACTTTTTCTTGGATCCAACATTTAATTATAAGAAATGAAAAATCATTACTAGAATTTGGGCATATCCTTAGATGAGCAATTTCTATATGTGATATTGGCACGCCTTTGGTATCATATGATCTGGATAAGTAAATTAGAATCTTAACTAGTTTTGCAGAGTGTACATAAGTTTTTCTCTTTGCCATTGAACCATAAAATGTTGGTTTTCATGTTTGACACTTTGACATGATATCGTTGTACCAAAGGTTCTACATAGAGGTTGCATGGACATAAGTTGTGTAGATTGGAGTAACTTAAGTGTATATGCTTTATTTCTTTAGTGGCTAAGCAGTTCACAAATTCAGGTTGTGGAGGGTATGGTTATCTACGTGAGCCACTATGGTGGATTGGAATGATCACTAGTAAGTGTATTATTCCTGAGAATATAAGGTATTCAGATCCATAGTGCTCAGAGGTATGCAAGTATCATAAGCTTCCTTGTGTTATATTTTTGCAGTGGTTATTGGAGAATTTGCCAACTTTGTAGCTTATATTTTTGCACCAGCTGTGCTTGTTACACCACTGGGTGCTTTAAGTATAATTGTTAGGTATTTTTTCCTTCACGGTTTAACCTCATTATTTTGGATAAAGAGCTTTCTTATAAAAGTAAATAATTACTTTAATCAGACATTCTGTTTATTTCTCTGTCAGTGCTGTACTAGCCCATCTATTACTGAAGGAAAAATTGCAGAACTTGGGAGTAATAGGATGCATTTTATGTGTGGTGGGTTCTACAGTAATTGTCCTTCATGCACCCGGTGAACATGGTATAAGTTCAGTGGATGAGATATGGGATTTAGCTACACAACCAGGTCAACTGATATGCTTATTCTGCCAATCTGACTCCAAAAGTTTAATTTTTGCATTATAGATTAGGTCAAAGGTAGTGTATCTCCCTCATAGTGGTCCACTTTCATTCATGCAGCTTTTCTTTTATATACTGCGGCCTCAATAACAATAGTATTGGTACTGGCATTATATTGCGAGCCTCGCTATGGTCAAACACACGTTATGGTTTATATTGGCATCTGTTCGATAGTAGGATCATTGACGGTTAG